ACAAAAAGCGTATACAATGGGGCAAAACTCACTTAACAAATGTCTCCCTTAACAACAGAAATTTTGGCCTCCATTGCGGTCATAAGTCGAGGACTATCTGTATTTAGCTTCTTAAAGCCAGCAAGATCATGGTAGCACTGCCACCTGCTAAAACAGGCAGGCCAAATCCTACAACAATTAAATCAAAAGTTGTTCAACCAATTCGATTTACAACACCCGAGAGCGACCGCAAACAAGGACTCTAATATATACTTAGATTCTTGTAAACTCTTACTACATGCTGCTTCATTCCAAAGTGATCCAGGCCGCAATCGAATATTCAATATGCTTTTAATTTTCCAAATCTGATGGTTTTATGGGCAGCCTCTGACTGATTTACAGTCTTCTAACATCTGCGCTGACATGTAAAACATCTTTGTCTTTTTTTTTATGACAATTTTGTTCCACCAGTTATAGACATCATTATGTAGTTAAGTTGGACCATAAGGAAGGCTGAGCGCCAAAGAATTGAGGCCTTTGAACGATGGTGCTGGAGAAGACTCCTGCGAGTCCCTTGGACTGCAAGGCGATCAAACCGGTCAGTCCTAGAGGAGATCAACCCTGATTGCTCTTTAGAAGGCCAGATCCTGAAGATGAAACTCAGATACTTTGGCCACCTAATGAGAAGGAAGGACTAACTGGAGAAGAGCCTAATGCTGGGAACGATTGAGGGCAAAAGAAGATGGGGACGACAGAGAACGAGGTGGCTGGATGGAGTCACCGAAGCAGTAGGCGTGAGTTTAAATGGACTCCAGAGGATGGTAGGGGACAGGAAGGCCTGGAGGAACATTGTCCATGGGGTCGCGATGGGTCAGACACGACTTTGTAACGAACAACAACAACAACAATGTAGTTAAGACTGTGTGTTTCTAGGATAAATGAAAGCACGATGAAGGTTTAAACCTTTAAAATGGGGGGGGGGGAAAGATATTTGAGATGTTAGATTTTCTGCTGATTGGTTAGGGACACAATACATATTTTATAGAACACTTCATTCCTAGACACATTGTTAGGCGAGATCCTGGCATTAATTTGATTTGTGTATTTCTATGATAACAAGAACAAATCAATAATGGGGTACGGCAGGGGTGAAATCCACTTACGTTCATTACCGGTTCGCAAATGGGAGCATGCGCAGAGCATCAAAAACGGGACGTGATGACATCCGGGCAGGTCGGCGGAGCCTGCCGCTGCCACTACCGGTTTGCCTGAGCCAGATAGAGCCCGTACCCATTTCACCACTGGGGTACGGAGTAACTGAACTGGCATTGAAAATTACTTGTTTCCATATAAGTGTTTACAGATATTCCTCGACTTACGACTACGATCGAGTGCAAAATTTCTGTTGCTAAGCGAGATATTTATTAAGAGAATTTAGCCGCAGGTTACGACCTTTCTTGCCACAGCTGTTAAGTGAATCACTACAGTTGTCAAATTAGTAACCCGGTTGTTAAGTGAATCTGGCTTCCCCATTGGCTTTGCTTGTCACAAGGTCGCAAAAGGGGAATCACATGATCAAAATTTGGATGCTTGGCAACTGGCTCATATTTACGATGGTTGCAGTGTCCCCGTGTCACGTGATCCCCATTTGCGACCTTCTGATGAGCAAAGTCAATGGGGAAGCCAGATTCACTTAACAACCGTGTTACTAAGTTCACCACTGCAGTGATTCACTTAACAACTGTGTCAAGAAAGGTCGTAAAACGGGGCAAAACTCCCTTAACAACTAGCTCAGTGAGAGAAATGTTGGGCTCAAATAGGGTTGTAGGTCGAGGATTACCTACACTTGATGCATTTAAAATGAAAGGATATTTTTGCACGATCATTGAATTCATCAGGAACTTTCTCTCTTTCTGTTGTGGCCCGCCAACGGCCTGTGCGGATTGTGGCTGATCCCGACGATGAGAAGGCTGGTGTGGTGTCGTGCCAGCAGCCTGTGCGGCCGGCGCTCGCATCGGACAGCGAGGAGGCTGAAGAGGATGTGGTGCCAGAGGCAGAGACTCAGCCAGGGCCTTCAGAACCTCCAGAGGCTCCTTCAAGTGGAGAGAGCGAAGTGGAGGAGCCTCTTCTCAATGCTCGAGCACGCAGGGCTGCCAAAAGGCAGGAGTGGCTACTCAGGAGGAGGAGGTCTCCTCGAGAGTAAGGCTTGAGGATAATTGGCCACTCCCTTACCCTATTTAAGTCACACACGGTTAGTAAGTTTCTTGCTGGAAACAACTTGTAATTATCATCAGAGCATTTTTGGAAAAGTCTTATCGTATCTTGTTTTCTGGGCTGGTTGCCAACCTTTGCCGGACTTTGGTTTATTCTTGCTACTTAATAAATTTGATAAGGACCATTGGTGTGTGTCTATATCCTCGGAAATCCGGAGCTGGGGCAGAACACTTTTCTCCTCATTATCTTTTGATTTTTTCAGGAATCCGCTGGAGCAACTGAAGGCAGAACCATAGAATAGAATAACAGAGTTGGAAGGGACCTTGGAGGTCTTCTAGTCCAACCCCCTGCGTAGGCAGGAAACCCTACACCATTTCAGACAAATGGTTATCCAACATCTTCCTAAAAACTTCCAGTGTTGGAGCATTCACAACTTCTGGAGGCAAGTTGTTGCAATGGTTAATTGTTCTAACTGTCAGGAAATTTCTCCTTAGTTCTAGGTTGCTTCTCTCCTTGATTAGTTTCCACCCATTGCTTCTTGTCCTGCCCTCAGGTAGTTTTGAGAATAGCTTGACTCCCTCTTCTTTGTGGCAGCCCCTGAGATACTGGAACACTGCTATCATGTCTCCCCTAGTCCTTCTTTTCATCAAACTAGACATACCCAGTTCCCGCAACCGTTCTTTATATGTTTTAGCCTCCATTCCCATAATCATCTTTGTTGCTCTTCTCTGCACTCTTTCTAGAGGAGAGCTTATAGTGCACAGCCATAAACCTTCATCGCCCCTTGGTTTACTCTGGAAATGCTGAATCTTAAACTACATAATGATGTCTATAACAGATGGAACAAAATTATCATAAAAAGGATCCTCAGGGAGAACGAAAGGCAGGTTGATTGTTAACAGAAATCGGTCTGCGAGAAAGACAGCCAAATTTCTTACTCTACAGAGTTGGCTGCCCTGCTGTTATATTTGTGTGGTAAGCCCCCCGCTCCCTCTCCTAGAAGAATGAAATATTTTGGGAAATATTAAAAAGGGCCAGAATATTGTATTTCCCCCAAGGGAGAAATGGAGAAACATGCTTTTGTTAAGTGAATCATTGCAGTTGTTAAGTTAGTCACAGGGTTGTTAAGGGGATCTGGTTTTTCCACTGATTTTGCTTGTGAAAACGTCACAAAAATTGATCACGGTTCAAAGCGCAAAAACGGTTTCGGTTCCGTTGTAACTTCGAACGGTCACTAAATGAACGGTTATAAGTCAAGAACTACCTGTGTTTACAGAAAACCTGTAATTCTTTCCTCACAGGGCTGCCAAAATCAGGATCATTCAACAGAAATTGTCACATTCTTAATATGCAAAGAGAAATTCTACTAGCTTAAAGACGCCATCTTCTGGCAAATATATAGCACCTCTCTCTATTTCTTAGAAAAAAGATTTTCAACCACTTTGCACAAGATTGAATGTAAATAGTCTTCGATATATAACCACAATTGAGCCCAAAATTTCTGTAAGCAAGACAATTGTTGCAACAGTCATGTGAACCCCCATCATAAGTCACTGTTGTCACTTTGGTCACTAAGTGAATGATTCTAAGTCAAGGACCACCTGGACAATACAGGTAGGCCTCAACTTATGATCACAATTGAGCCCATCATTTCCGTTGCTACCTGAGACTTTTGTTAAGTGAATTTTGCCCTAATTTACGACCTTTCTTGCCACAGTTGTTAAGTGAATCACTGCAGTTGTTAACTTAGTAACCCGGTTGTTAAGTGAATCTGGCTTCCTCATTGATTTTGTTTGTCAGAAGGTCGCCAAGTGGGGATCACATGACCCCTGGGGACACTTCAACCGTCATAAATATGAGTCAAAATATGAATTTTGATTATGTGATCCTGGGGATGCTGCAACGGTCGTTAAGTGACCGTAAGTGTGAAAAACGGTTATAACAGAGGTGGGTTTCAGCAGGTTCTGATCAGTTCTGGAGAACTGGTAGCAGAAATTTTGAGTAGTTCGGAGAACCGGTAAATACCACCTTTGACTGGCCCTGCCCCCATTTATTCTCTGCCTCCCAAGTCCCAGCTGATCGGGAGGGAATGGAGATTTTACAGTATCCTTCCCTGGAGTGGGGAGGGAATGGAGATTTTACAGTATCCTTCCCCTGAAGTAGGGAGGGAATGGAGATTTTACAGTATCCTTCTCCTGGAGTGGGGAGGGAATGGAGATTTTACAGTATCCTTCCCCTGCCACGTCCACCAAGCTACGTCCACCAAGCCACGCCCACAGAACCGGTAGTAAAAAAAATTGAAACCCACCACTGGGTCATATATACTTTTTTCAGTCCGATTATATCTTTGAATGGTCACTAAATGAACAGTTGTAAATCAAGGTCTACCTGTATTAGGATTCCGCCAAACGAGATGATTGTCATCTTTAAAAAAATACAAAAAAATCTACTACATTAACTTTGCCACTGTGTTCTATTAAGAACCACGGCCCAGATAAGCCTATTTAAGGCTGGACAAGGGAATTTTTTTTAATAAAAAGGGCTGAAGTCTGCTGTTTAGTTTTCATGTACTACATGCAACATGAAAAATGACTTCTGTCAATCATTATTGTCAATCAATAATGCAACGTTGAGATAAGCATAACATTATTTTTCAGATTTAGATTTTTAGAATATTTTTTTTTCTGATAAAAGATACCTACTGAAGCACAGGAAGAATTAGCGGCAGATGCAAGTATAAAAATAACATAATTCTTCTCACATTGTTTAATATTAAACAATATACCTTTTAGTGTAACCTAATTTACCTCATGATTCTCACTTACACTTTCTTGTGATACAGAAATATCAGTATTTCCTTGAAGAGTTCCCAAACAGGTAACGTCCCCTCCTTTTGCTCGGATATCAATTTTCTGACTCTGAAAAAAAACTGCATTGGTGTTAAAAGAGTTTACTTTCTTTTTCTTCAAAGATTCATTTCCCGGTTATGACACATTCTAACTTTCAAATCTGATCTTTGAACTTTCCTGGAAAATGAACACCTGTATGGAAGCTGTTTTTCAATTAGTTCTACGCAGTGGTGAAATCCAATTTTTTTTTTTACTACCGGTTCTGTGGGCGTGGCTTGGTGGGCGTGATGTGGCTTGGTGGGCGTGGCAGGGGAAGGATACTGCAAAATCCCCATTCCCTCCCCACTCCTAGGGGAATGATATTGCAAAATCTCCATTCCCACCCCACTCTGGGGCCAGCCAGAGGCGGTATTTGCCGGTTCTCCGAACTACTCAAAATTTCCGCTACCAGTTCTCCAGAACCTGTCAGAACTTGCTGGATTTCACCCCTGGTTCTATAGCATATTCTGATAACGTTGAATTACTGTCCATTATGCAGCTCTTAAAGGTAAACAAGCAACCTACGATGCTAGGAATTTCAGATCGGATCTCTGTATTTAAAAACTATTAAGACTAAAGAGCTACTGAGTATCAGTTATCCTGAGCTAAATACAGGTAGTCCTCAAATTACAACAGTTCGTTTTGTGACATTCAAAGTAATTGAGTTATTTCCTTCCTCTTACTTTCTACTATATACATTCCCCATTTTTCCCATCCTTTATTATCATTATCTTTATCGTCCCTTTATTTTTAATTTTCTTCATTTACAATATTTTGCACATTTGTCACCTTCTTCTCTCCATCATTTATTCACATTTACTTTCCCTAATCTCAAGCCAATCATACCACTTAGTCCATACTCGATACTATTCTGTATCTTCCTTTTCTTTTATTTCTTTCGTTAATTCATCCATCTCGGCACAGTCCAGGATTTTCTTAATTATTTCTTCCTCTGTTGGGATCTTTTCACTTTTCCAGGACTGTGCGTAGATTATCCTTGCTGCTGTAATTATATGCAGAATCAAATATCTAATTTCTTTACTGTAAGTTCTGTTCAATATCCCCAGTAAAAACGTTTCTGGTTTCCAATCCACATTATATCCAATTATCTCTTCTATCCAACTTCTAATTTTAATCCAATATTTTTTTGCATTGGGACATGTCCACCAGAGATGATAATATGTTCTGGGGACTTTTTTACATTTCCAACATTTTGGAGATATGTAAAAAGAAACACATATCATGTGTTTGTGTTTTGTAAGTTGTGTTGTGTTGTTGTGGTAAAACCAATAAAAACTTTAAAAAACAACAACAAAGTAATTAAGTTATGTTCAAAGTTAAAACGGCCCTGAAAAAAGTGACTTATGCCCGTTTTTCACAGTTACGACTTTTGTAGCATCCCCATGATCATGTGATCAAAATTCAGATGCTTGGCTTCATATTTATGACCGTTGCTGTGTCCCAAAGTCATGTGATTACCTTTTATGACCATCTGACAAGTAAACTCAATGGTTGATTCACTTAGTAACCAGGTTATTAATCACTGCAGTGATTCATTTAACAGCTGTGGCAAGGAAGGTCGTAAAATGGGGCAAAACTTACTTAACAAATGTCTCACTTAACAACTGAAATCTTGGGCTCAATTGTGGTCGTAAATTGAGGACTATCTGTACTGCTCGTTATCCAACTCTTAAAAGATAAAAAAAGCTAGGAATTTCAGATCGAATCTCTGTATTTAAGTCCGCAAAAAAACGTATGGAATCTGTAAATCTAAAGAGCTATTAAATGTCAGCTGTTCTGAGGTAAATAGACTAGCATTCTGAAGCGGAATAAAAAGGGATGCCTCTGATTTTCTGAAAAGGATACATAAAGTAAGGAAGGTGATGGTTAATTTGACAATCCTATTCACAACTGTCAAGAAGTAAAATTTATTGAATTCAGTGGTACCCATTTCAGAGAACTGCACCCAGGATTTCAGCTCAGTGAAGTGGGCCAGTGACATGATTGCAGGGGTGGGATTCAGCCGATTCGGGCGAAACGGATGATAATTTACATCTGGTTCGCCGAACCGGTAGTTGCAAGGACTGGCTGGCCTCGCCCACCCCGCCCCTCTCAGGAGTCTCCACGCGGCCCATTTTGGATGCAGGTAAGTGCAGGGCCCGCGAAGAGGCTCTGGGAGGGTGAAAAACGGGCCTCCTGGAAGTTCCAGAAGTCCAGAAATGGGCCCGTTTCCGGCCTCCAGAGGTCCTCCGGAGCCCGGGGTTGGCCATTTTCGCCCTCCCGGAGGCTCAAGGAAAGCCTCCGGAGCCTGGGGAGGGTGAAAACGCCCCCCTCCCCTGATGTGCTGCAGGAGACTGAGTAGGCCACGCCCCCATGGCCACACCCACCCAGCAACCAGGCAGAGAACTGGTTGCTAAAAAAATTTCAATCCCCCCCACCTTCACGATTGTTTAAGGATTTAAAGCCCAGCCAAGAAATGCTTGTGGAGATTTTTAAAAAATAATTCCATTTGTGAGCAGCAAAAATGTCAGATACAGGGAATCAATCTACTGGATGTGAAATCATCTTGCATCTGCAAGAAGTAACCCTGCGATAAAGGACATTTATGACGCTGAAGATTTCTTATAATTCTTAAAACAAAGAAAGGCCAGGATGAGAGACCGGTACCTTTATTGACTTCAATAGACTCGCTCCTTTCTCTGTTTCTACATTGCAGGAAGCAGACTGCATTTGTTCAATCGTCACAGAGCCACTTCCTGATGTCTTGATATCCAAATCTAAAATCAATTTTAAAAAGTGAACAAGGAATCGAGATCAGAACAGTCTTAGGTTTGATTTCGTGATGTCAGCAAATGAAACACAGAGAGCAAGATCCTGCTTGCAAAGCATATCTGTTTTATTCCCTAAATAAAACTTCACCCTCTGAACCAGTCGTGAAATCCAAATTTATTTACTACCGGTTCTGTGGGCGTGGCTTGGTGGATGTGGTGTGGCTTGGTGGGCGTGGCAAAGGAAGGATACTGCAAAATCTCCATTCCCACCCCACTCCAGGGGAAGGATACTGTAAAGTCTCCATTCCCTCCCCACTCCAGCGGAAGGATACTGCAAAATTTCCATTCCCACCCCACTCCAAGGGAACAATACTGCAAAATCCACATTCCGCCCCCACTCCTGGGGGAAAGTTATTGCAAAATCTCCATTCCCACCCCACTCTAGGGCCAGCCAGAGGTGGTATTTGCCAGTTCTCTGAACTGCTCAAAATTTCTGCTACCGGTTCTCTGAACCGCTCAAAATTTCCGCTACCGGTTCTCCAGAACCTGTCAGAACCTGCTGGATTTCATCCCTGCTCTGAACCATTCAAGATGTATTGGGTGACAACTCCTTTAATGGTGCTAAGAATTCTTGCAGTTCTAGTCAAATAGCCCAAGGAGACTTTGGTTCACGGGAGTCAAACTCGCTGCGTCACGTTGCCGTCACGTAACGTTTCATGATGTTTTTCCCCTTCGCAGAGCTGGGGTGGGTGTGGCCTCTGCGTGACGCATCCAGCCCGCGGGTCGCCAGTTTGACACCCTTGAGTATGGTTCAGAGGTGGGTTTCAGCAGGTTCTGACCAGTTCTGGAGAACTGGTAGCAGAAATTTTGAGTAGTTCGGAGAACCGGGAGTAAAAATGCTGACTGGCCCCACCCCCATCATTCTCTGCCTTCCAAGTCCCAGCTGATTGGGAGGAAATGGGGATTTTGCAGTAATCTTCCCCTGGATTGGGGATGGAATGGAGATTTTACAGTATCCTTCCCCTGCCACGCCCACCAAGCCATGCCATGCCCACTAAGCCACACCCACAGAACCAGTAGTAAAAAAAATTGAAACCCACCAGTGGTATGGTTCATACAGAAGTATTCTAACCAAAACAAACTGTATGGTTTTTATTTTCTTAAAAAAATAGACTTTACTTGGTTTTGTTAATAGGTAAAAAGAAGAGCTGCCTTTAGATCAAATTTGACTCTTGATGGCTTATGTGGACACATCCATGAAGTTTTTTTGGCAATTTGCCACCAACTGGCTACAGGGTTAAGATTTTGAAAAACATTTCAAAGCAGTGGAGAGAATGGAAGACAACAAAGACAGCCAGGTGGAGAAAAGATAAATGGTTCAGATGAAAGAAAAGTGCACATTTGCAAATGCCCTGGGCATATGAACTCTGGAGGTAGAAGCAGCAGTTCAGCCTCAACTATATACAGGCAGTCCTCGACTTACGATCTTTTGTTTAGCGACAACGGCACTGAAAAAAGTGACTTGACTTGTTTTTCACACTTATAACTATCCACACGGTCACATGATCAAAATTCAAGCATTTATGTTAAATAACTGTTATTTATGACAGTTGCACTGTCCTCAGGGTCACCATTTGTAACCTTCCCAACTGCCTTCCAACAAGCAAAGCCAAGGGGACAAGCTAGATCTGCTTAATGGCCGCACGATTCACTGAACAACTGTCATGGACTATGAATGCTAACATGCTTGTGAAGAAGGCACAGAAGAGGCTGTACTTCCTGAGAATGCTCAGGAAGATAAATCTATCTCAGCATCTACTTCTGTCCTACTATCGCAGCACCATTGAGAGTGTCCTGACATACGGCATTCTTGCATGGTATGGGAGCAGCTCTGTAGCGGACAAAAAAGCTCTACAGAGAATCATTAAAACTACCCAGAATATCATCGGAGTCCAGCTACCAGCCCTGGACGACATCTTCGAATCTCGCTGTTTGAGAAAGTTGCGTAACGTTCTCAGAGACTCTTCCCATCCTGCTTACAATCTTTTTGGACTGTTGCCTTCTGGCAGAAGATACAGAACAATTAAAACTCGGACCGCACGTTTTCTGAATAGTTTTTATCCCAGAGCTATAATTGCACTCAACAATGAACTAAAGGGCCACCATCAGTGAGCTGTTGGACTGCATGACTTGGTCTATTGTGTGGATGTTTGGGTGGTTTAGGGTTGGGGAATTGTGGTGGGTGGGGGGGTGTTTGGGGATTGTTATGTGTTTTGGACCTGGTCTTTGGGTGTTAAGTGAATTTTGTTGTATGGGTATACTGTGTATACACATACAATGACAATAAAGTTATTATTATATTATAAACTGCAGTGATTTGCTTAACCACCGTGGCAAAAAAAAAAATGGCAGAGCAAAACTCACTTCCCCACTGCCTCGCTTAGCGACAGAAACTTTGGGCTCAATTGCGGCCGTAAGACGAGGGCTGCTTGTATTCTATCACGCCGCACCCACCCACCCACCCTTTCTGCACCTACCAAATTTGACAGGGGTCCTCACATCCAGGGAAGCCGCGCCGTCCACGCCATCGGAAATGATCATCACCTCCTTACGGGCCTCGTCATAATTCACAAGCAGATCCTTGGGATCGGAATCCCTCCCTTTAAGGGCAACCAATACCTGGTCAGAATCGGGGTACTTATGGGGGTCCAGGGCACCCACTGTTATGTGGCAAGGGAGACGCGCCTTCAGCAGACCAAAGGGACTGACCATCAAAGTCCACTCCTTGACAAGCTTTGGGTCCTTTTCTGCAGCAGGACCCAGGTTTGTGTTACTTGTGAACAACAAGCCCAGTTGGTGGGGCCATCTCCCCATCAGCAAACCACGATTGCTCCTTGCTAACGCTTTCCCCGCCAGGTAGAACCATCCAGGCAACCTGCCTTGCATTGTCTTGTTGAGTCCTTGTTCTATATGGGGATGTTTTGCCTAAGATCCCCTCTTTTTAATTTTTTTTATAAATCCCCCCCCCCCCAATTTTTGCATGGGGTGGGGATCAACTGGATCAGAACCCCCTCTTACAAGCCCACCCTTTCTCCCCACGCAAAAAAAAATCGCGCGTTGCATCCAACCGGAGATGCACAAAAAACCCCGCACAAAAAGTTGCAATTATTCTACTACCCCGGACATGTCAAACTTGCAGCGAGGGCTGCTGGGAATTGTGGTTTCCCCGCCTGGGCGAAAAGCACGCAAGCGCACAAGTCGGGCATATTTAACTACAAATCCCGGAATGCCATTCGTACTCTGAGGTTTTTTTTTTTTTTTTTTTCACTCTCTCTCTCTCTCTAATGGCTGGGGAAGGAGGATGGAACGTTTCGTCACCCAATCGGAAAGGGTGTGGGATCAGGAAAAAAAAAAGGGCGGAGAATGTTTGGTCTCCTTGGAAACGGGGCGAGTCGGTTGCTAGGCAACCGTTCCTGGGAAAGAAAAGAGTAACGCGAATTGTAGTCACGCCGGTAAGATTAAACTGGGTTATGATGATCCCACATTGTGTGAAGGGGAGGTTTTGTACTCGGGGGGTGGGGGGGAGAGATATAAGCTTCAGGAATAGAGCTTTTTTCAAGAAATCCCCACTCCTGTTTATGCCTTTGCTAGGTCATGTTTTTATTGGTGGATGGGAGACCACCAGGAAATCCCAGGGATGTCAGTTTAACTGGGCAAACGTTCCCCCCCAAAAAAGCAACGGGAAAAGTTCACTTACCATGGTTGCCAATAAAAACTGCATTGATGTATTGACAAAGTCGAGGAAATCCAATGTTTTGCTTGCTACCCATGGGAATAAATAAAATAAGGTATTCGAAGTTACGACGGCACTGAAAAAAGTGACTAATGACCATTTTTCACACTTATGACCATTGCAGCATCACATGATTTACATTTAGATGCTTGGCAACTGACTCATACTTATGACGGTTGCAGTGTCCCGGGCTTATGTCATTCCCCCTTTTATGACCATCTGATAAGCAAAGTCCATGGGAAAGCCAGATTCACTTAACAACCGTGTTACTAATTTAAGAACTGCAGTGATTCGCTTAACGACTGTTGAGTGAAAAGTTGTAAAAACGGGACAAAACTCTCTTAAACAAATTTCTCATTTAGCAACAGAAATTCTGGGCTCAATTTTGGTCGTAAGTCCAGGACTATTTGTATAGATAGCTGTTTTAACAAACAGATATAGAAGCATGATGTGTGAAGCAGGCCAATGAACAGTGGGCAAATGTATCATTTGTTGTGTCAATTGTTTGTGCAGCTCCTATAATTTTTGCAACCTTGTTTAGTGTTTCTTCTGATCCAAAGAAAGTTAATAATGGGTATTCCAGCTATCCATCTAATGCTGGAAATAAATTGAAATATGGAATAGCAAGTGCTAGGAAGTGAATGATAAAGGCAAGATTTGCCAAGATTTGACTCTTTGTTTAAGTCAAGGTACATATTAATACAACTTCATGCTCTAGTATGTGTAGAGGAATACAAAAACGTTTATAAAAAAATCTTCCTTCTTTTGAGGCACTTACAGATTTTTGGGGATTGCGTCAAGATTAAATTTATGTATAAAATGGAATAACCTGTATTGTATAACTACTTTTAATATTTTGCCTATGAAAAAAAATAGCTAAGGAAGGAAGCCTTGAAAAATTGCATAATTGGATATGATTGATAGTACAGGTAGTCCTCGAGTTATGACCACAATTGAGCCCAACATTGATGTTGCTAAGTGAAACATTTGTTAAGTGAGTTTTGACCCATTTTACGACTTTTCTTGCCACAGTTGTTAAGTGAATCACTGCATCTGTTAAGTTGGTAATATGGTTGTTAAGAGAATCTGGCTTCCCCGTTGACTTTGCTTGTCAGAAGTTCGTAAAAGCGGATCACGTGACCCCAGGACACTGCAACCGTCACAAATATGAACCAATTGTCAAGCATCTGAATTTTGACCCTGTGACCATGAGGATGCTGCCAACGGTCGTAAATGTGAAAAAATGGTCGTAACTCACGTTTTTCAGTGCCGTTGTACCTTTGAACGGTCACTAAAAGAACTGTCGTACGTCAAGGACTACCTGTATTAGGTGCTCTTTATCTGAAGGATCTTCATCTTTGCTGGCTTTCGGAAATACATTTTAAGCAGTAGGACTGTAGGAGATAACCAGGCTGAGCCTGAGGGAGGGGTCAAACGCATCATCAGTCTTGAGTCTCTTCGCACCCACAAAAAATCTAACTTCAACCCACCTTGAATTGCATTGACTCTTCTCTACCACCCATTTGCTTTGACTGTTAGTAGCTCAGATTCTTATAGAGAGCATAAACCTGCAATGAACCTTTATTTTCCTTTGAACCGCCTGGTCTTCTGATTTTCCTGCACTTGACAAGGACTTCACCAAGGATCTGGTTTCAGAGGTTGTTGGGAGTGTGCAACCTTTAGAAACACCTTGAACTAAGGAGATATGAGACTACATCAGTGTGCAAGGCATGTGGGCAGCTGTGTTCTTGAGAAAGATACAGCTGTTTTAAGATGTTTCCAATAGAGGCTGTCTGCTCATCCATGGATGACCTTATCATCCATTTGAACCAGTGGTGGGTTCCTCCCGGTTTGGCCCAGTTCTCCCGAGCCGGTAGCGGTGACGATATTTATTTATTGTTTATTGTTTATTTATTGGTTTGATTTATATGCCGCCCTTCTCCGGAGACTCAGGGCGGCTTGCAATGCGTTAAGCAATAGCCTTCATCCTTTTGTATATACCTGCTTAATAGGGCTTTTGGCACCCCCAAGCGGTGTTCTTTTTATACAAAGTCAGCTTATTGTCCCCACAATCTGGGTCCTCATTTTACCTACCTCGGAAGGATGGAAGGCTGAGTCAACCTTGAGCCTGGTGAGATTTGAACTTGCAGTAATTGCAGGCAGCTGGCAGCTAAGTGCTACTTAACAGCACTTTAGTCCGCTGCACCACCAAGGCTCTATATGATGTCACTGAACCGGTTCTGGCCCCCCCGCACCCCCGCACCTCCCTACGCCCCCCCACGCTCCGCGTTATTCTTACCTTTTATTTGGCCCCACCCCCAATCTATTGCTGCCTCCTGAGTCCCAGCTGATGGCTAGAGGGAAAAAAACTGTTTAAACTCTTGCCCTAGGGCTTCAAAGGGTCGCCCTACAGCTGATCAGTGTTAAAAGAAAACAAATGGGTAGACCAGTGCCTGCAAAAATACATGAGTAGACCGGTGCCTGCAAAAATACATGAGTAGACCGGTGCCTGCAAAAATAAATGGGTAGACCGGTGCCTGCAAAAAATACATGAGTAGACCAGTGCCTGCCAAAATAAATGAGTAGACCGGTGCCTGCAAAAATAAATGGGTAGACCAGTGCCTGCAAAAAATACATGAGTAGACCAGTGCCTGCCAAAATAAATGAGTAGACCAGTGCCTGCAAAAAAGAAATGGGTAGACTGGTACAGCTCTGCAAGCAGTTAAAAGCCTGGTAGACCAGTACCTCTGCTAAATCCTAAAGAATGGTCACATGACCATCAAGCCACGCCCAGAAAATAAGCCACGCCCACAGAATCGGTCGTAAAAATTTTTAGAACCCACCCCTGATTTGAACCCACAGCCCTAATTGCTTTCTGCAGTAATATATCAGTTCAAATGCATCTCTTAGCTAGTGTTTCGTACAATGCGAACTTATCCGTTTACTTTTTAATTTTGCAATGGCTTGTTTTCAAATATATATTACAAATTAAAAGACGCTTCCTCCTGGGGCGGAAAGCTATGGCAAATCTAGACAGCATACTAAAAAGCAGAGACATCACCCTACCAACAAAAGTGCGTATAGTCAAGGCTACGGTTTTCCCAGTTGCAATGTTCAAACCCTTCCATAAGGAAGGCTGAGCGCCAAAGAATGGAGGCCTTTGAACTGTGGTGCTGGAGAAGACTCCTGTGAGTCCCTTGGACTGCAAGGCGATCAAACCGGTCAGTCCTAGAGGAGATCAACCCTGACTGCTCTTTAGAAGGCCAGATCCTGAAGAGGAAACTCAAATACTTTGGCCACCTAATGAGAAGGAAGGACTCACTGGAGAAGAGCCTAATGCTGGGAACGATTGAGGGCAAAAGAAGAATGGGACGGCAGAGAACGAGGTGGCTGGATGGAGTCACCGAAGCAGTCGGCATGAACGTAAATGGTCTCCAGGGGATGGTAGAGGACAGAAAGGCCTGGAGGAACGTTGTCCATGGGGTTGCGATGGGTCAGACACGACTTCGCAACTAAGAACAAATATTTGTAGGGCCCTATAATTCACTTTTATACCATCAGATGGCAGCAGTTACCCACCCAATACATTGCAATTACATTTTGATTGGTTAATTTTGTGACAGGGATGGGAAATTCATTTGCTTTGCTTTTGATATAATGACCGCTTCCTGAAAGAGTACAATTATCCTTTTAAAAAAATTGCAGTAAGCAGTTTTAGCTCGTGCAGATATTTAACAGTGCAGGTATTGCAGGAAATTGAATGCATATTTTAAAAAATTAAGTGTGTGTGTGAATCTTCCGTTAAAATGCTTAATATTTGCTTAGAAAAAATGGGACGGAGCAAACATTTATTTGCCCAAAAACATTACACATGTTGAAGCATAGTGTAGCTCTGTAAATATTTGCACTTATGTACAAAACCAACTTGCAGCATTGTTTTGGAAAAATATATGTTGAATTTGATGCAAACAAGGTACAGACATGGGATATCTAGTTAAATCACGAGTTGCTTAATTAGGGTTTGTTGCATAGCTGACACTTCATTAGTAGAATTGGCTTCGGATTTTGTGACAACCATGGAAGTGCTACACAATGTCACATTGACCAACACATTGAGCAAAATAGACCACAATTTGCTTTTGTCTTGAGGCAAGACAGGGGTAGCTGGAATAAGAGGTGGGTTGCTACCGGTTCGCCCCAGTTCGGAGTAGGGGGTGGCGGGAGGCTCCTCCCACCTGCCTAGACATCATAAAAAATGCTCTGCGCCAGTGGTGGGTTTCAAATTTTTTTACTAACGGTTCTGTGGGTGTGGTTGGTGGGCGTGGCTTGGTGGGCGTGGCAGGGGAAGGAAACTGTAAAATCTCCATTCCCACCCCACTCCAGGGGAAGGATTCTGCAGAATCC